CGTGTGGGTGCGCTGGTGGGTGGCGAGGTCAGATGACTGGCTGAACCTCCTCCCACACTCACCACAAGGATAGGACTTCTCTCCTGTGTGGCTCTGCTGATGTCTAACTAGGTGTGATGGCCTGTGGAAGTTCTGCCCACACTCGCCGCAGGAATACCACTTCTGTCTGTGACCGCCCCCTCCCTCCTCCCCTGTTTCGCTCTGTGCATGTGGCTCCCCTGTTGTCTCTCTCCACTGCTGTGGAGGCAGGTTTGACAGTAAGCCAAACACCTCTCTACCTCCCACACCTTCCCTCTGCCCTTGCAAATGCGGTTTCTTTCCCCATGTGCCTTTGCGGAGAGAGCTGGGGTTTGGTGGCAGCTGCTGTGATGGTGGATCCCCCGGGAAGGAAAGACCTCTGGTTTTAGGGCAAGATTCCTCTCCCAGAGCACCTTCGTCTTCTTCAGTCTGCAATTCGGTAGGCAGGTGCTTACGCTTCAAGTGTTGGCTGAGGTAATCTTTGCTGCTGAAAGCCAGCCTGCAGCGAGGGCATGGATAGCAGTGTGGATCCTGCCCGCGGACTGTCCAAAAAACAAACCAGAATTCAGATAGGAAATGGCAATTCATCCAACATGCTAGCCCTTCCAGAGGCTTTGCACTACTATCCTGCCACGTAGGAAGGGCCAAGAGCACCAGACAATTAGTGACACTCAGACTTTAGTTTTAGGATACAAAGTGAACCGTTCCCTGTAGTACCAGACCTAATGGCTGACTCCTCCCCAGGGTTCAGTTCTATCCCCGACAGTCAGCCAGATTCAGACCTAAAGCTGGGACAACCGTGTCTGATTGTTCTAGGTCCCTGCTAGGAGTGTCATTTTCTCTCTCTCCTCTGCCAGCTGTTGGGGGTTCTGGTCCCGGCCGACTCCGCTCTCCCAAGGCCAGTGGAGTAAGCCATGGCAAAGAGTTGTATCTATAAGCATTTCTGAGGCTATGTCTACACTGGCACTCGAACGACAAAAGTTTTGTCTTTCAGAGGTGTTAAACCGCCCCCCCCCAGACAAAAGTTTTGCCGACGACAAGCACCAATGTGAACAGCTCACTCCTGCCGACAATGCTGCTCGTTGGGAGTGGAAGATTCTGTTGGCAGGAGAGCCGACAAACAGTGGCTACGCTGCACGAATTTTAGTGGCACGGCTGTCGCAATGCAGGCATGTCACTAAAAGCTGTGTAGTGTAGCCTGTATTGCACATCCTTGTAGTACTTAAGAGCTAAAGTCAGAGACCATCTCCTCACACTGGTGACCCCCCAGAGCCTCCTTCCCCCCCTCACTGTGCCGGAGAGGCTGTAGGCACAACCCCTGCTGGTTGTTGCCAAGTGCTGGGAGTGCACTGATCAGTACTCTGCTAGCTCGGCCTAGTCTGAGGATCATTGTGACACCCCAGAGGCTCTACCACAGATTTCAGTGGCAGTGGAGACATAGTGACTTTGACCAGCCCCTCGCTACACCCCATCCTCCAAAGCCTTCTCCCACCTTTAAGCTTGTTTTGAAGATACCAAAAAACACCTTGTATCGGATTAGTTTCTGAACTTTGGGATTCTATACAGTGAGGGCGATAGGTGGCTTTGCACCCACGGTAACATTTAAGCGGCTTCTCGCCACCCTGTGCAGATCATGTGATAGCCAGTCAGAAACTCTAGCCTGGTTGCTTAGTTTAACTTTAAATACTGTTTTTAGTCCCAGCCTTCACCTCTTAATATAAAGCAGATGCTGGGGTCGGAGAGGGTTGGGTAATAAGTCACGGGCAGAGCAGGAGGGGCTGTTTCAGCTGTCAGACTGGGAACTGCTCAGCAGGTCAGTGCTTGTGTCTCCTCATGGATCCCAGCATTTTTCAACCATTTTGATATCAGGGACCTGCTTGCTGCCTTCCTAAACTGTGTCAGGGAGATCCCAGCGACTGGTGCCAATCCAGACTGGTCATTGAGAATCACTGAGCTAGGGGATCCCCCGGTATGTGCGTGTGTTGGAGGTGGTGCGAGTAGCTGAGCAGAAGGCAACTGAAGAGGCAGATTCAGGGCAGCAGGTGCTCTAAGTCTGACCATCTCCTAGGGCAGGGGTAGTCAATAGGCGGACCGCGGGCCAAATCTGGACCACCAGACGCTTTTGAACGGATCATGAAATCTTTTTACTTATTGTCGTTATTGTTACTGCAACATGAAAAAATGTTTCTCTGGAGTCTGGACCTCGACCAAGAAACATGGACCTTAACAAAAAAACAATTGACTCCCCCTGTTCTAGGGATGGCAGGAAGCTCCCATAATTAGACTCATTCCAACCAGTAGTGGCAGTGGTGGCTGCAGCATCTCCTTTCACCAGCTTCCCTCATCACATCTGCACTCGAGATGGGCTCTCTAGCATAAGGATTTACTTGTGCGCATTCATGACAGAGGAGATGTCAGGATAAGAAATGAAAGTTCCTGGTTATTAGAAATTGTGTCATCTCAAAGGAAGCCAAGGGAAGCTTTTAGCCAGAGTGAGGCTGCAGCCTGGTACCTTTGGGTGGCGCTGTGCTTTTCCATCTCGTGCCCCACTTGATGCCCAGCTCCTTGCCGTATTCATCCCCGTACCAGACCAGAAGCTCACTATGCGGCAGGATGGCCCTGCACACTCTATAGTAGATTTTCCCATGATACTGGAAAGCGACAAGGTTCTGCTCTTCCTCATCCCTAGCACAGTTAACATACCTGGACATTCACAGTTAGGAAAGTGATTTGTTAAATACAACGGTCTTCAGTCAGGGAAGTGCCAACCTGAAATCTAGGCAATAGAACAGTGAATAACCACAGTACTTCTAGATTTTCCTTAATGGGATTAATAGATTATTGGTCCATGCCAGGAGCTTTCAGAGCCTAGCCAGTAACATTTGAAAGCTACGTCCGGTGTTTTTGAAGCTCATCCACTCCCACTAAGTCTATGAAAGTGAGATGACTTAGAGAGCCAAAAATCTGTACAACTTTTATAGAAAGGAAATTCTGGCGAATGAAGCTTCCTCAATATGCTACTCTGTGCTGGGTATTGGAGGGCTAATGCTGTCTCTCTCCCTAACCAGGTGGGCACTTTGTTTTGGGGTTTGTGTTGCAATCTTAATGCTGAGAATATCATGTTGTGAATGCTAACAGGACTGGGTAAATAACTGCATGCTTAGTGATGGATTGGGTGTGCCGCAGCCTGTAAAAATGAATCCTATGTCTTCATACACCTGAAACACTGACTGACTATCCCAGAGCTAACATTCTATGATCATACTGATGAGGATAGGAGTACAGGGACTTACCTCATCCAGTTGGCATTAGTTTCATCCTTTCCATCAATGTATACATACCAGTTTCTTCCCTTGGTGATCTGGAGTTAAATCAAACAAAACACACAGGAATCAATAAAGCACTCTCCATGCAGATGATATGATAAATAAGTGACAAATGTCATGCTTTGGGTTCATTGTGTCTTGAACACAGTTCAGAAGTAATCCTGCAAGTGTGAATACACACAGAACAGACAGGGCCAAATAGTGCTCACAGTGACAATCCCAATGAAATCAAGGAGGCTGCACAGTATAACTGAAGCTTTGTCTACACTGGCACTTTGTCAGCAAAACTTTTGTCATTCAGGGATGTTAAAAAACATTTCCCCCCACCCGGAAGGACAAAAGTTTTACTGACAAAAAGTGCCGGTGAGAACAGCACTTTGTCAGCAGGAGAGCTCTCTCCAGACGACAAACAGCAGCTACAATGGGTGACTTTTAGTGGCATGGCTGTAGCGGCACAGCTGTGTTGCTAAAAGATGTGTAGTGTAGACAAAGCCTGAAAGCAGAACCTGGGCCTTCAAACAGGGTCTCCCAACAAAGCTGAACCTGCTACCACCATCAGGAAAGTTAAACCAACTGCACCCCCCTAGGAGAGTGCCATGTGTTAAAGGCCGAAACATATTAATGAATACATTTCCCAAGCCCCTCAGCAAGCCCTTCATGCCACCTCCCCAACAGACACTGAGAAATGCTGATGTAGGGTGACCAGATATCCTGATTTGATAGGGACAGTCCTGATTTTCGGGTCTTTTTCTTATATAGGCTCCTATTACCCCCTACCCCCATCCCGATTTTTCACACTTGCTGTCTGGTCACCCTATGCTGATAGAATGTCATACTAATAAAACATGAATTAATAAAACAGAGTGGGAGTTCAGTGCCAAGAAGCATACTTCCCCTCCTTCCTTTCGCACTTTGATGAGCTAGAACATAGCACAGTGTTGTAATAGAAAAAAAGTGTCATGGGCAATTCATACCAGCCAAGAATAACCATTGTGGGCTGCTTCCTCATCCTCTGTTATCCTTCCATCGTATGGGCCAAAATGAACTCCGATCGGCAGGGTGTCTGCCTCATTCCAGACTCCAAGCCCAGCCTGTGGGATACTCGAAAGCCCAATTCGCATCCCCGGGGGCAAAGTGAGAGCTGCTCTCCTTTCTTGTCCTGTTTCTACTATCGGGTCTTTGATGAAAACTGGAGGGCCATGAACCGAACACTCATCAATGAAGAATATCAGGCAAGTCTCACAAACTAGAAGAGGAAGAGAAACAGAACACTGACTCCATCGGTTAGTTTCTCTGCTCCATCTCCCCTAGCCCCTCTCTGCATACCAGACCATTAACCACACCACACAGGCCCTAGTGTACACAGGCGGCTGGGTGACATACTAGGTAGCTGCTCTCCAGCTGTTGCACATTGGCTGAGCTGAAGAGAGTCTGAAGTTTTTCCTCATACCAGAGGCACATTTTCAGAGAATTTCTGTCAGGTGGTATATTGCCTCCAGCAAGCACTCAGTGGAAAGTGGACACTGCAGCCTGTTTAGCTATGCAGGTCGCTGTGAACATGTCACACAATGCTTAGCTCTCTGCACTGGCTCCTTATTGAATAGAGAGTCCAATTCCAGGTCTCTCCTCATATTAAGAGCCCTCCATGGGAGAGTTACGTTCCATCAGAACAATGAAACTCTTGACCAAGAGGAGAGTTTCATGAGTGCGGGAGACAGAACCATCACAGGAGCTAGGCCAGGATATGGAACTTTGCCACAAGAGATAAGGGTGACTTTCAAAATTAAATGCAAAACTTACATCTCAAACCACCCCTCCCCCCTGCTATTTCTGCTGCATGATTAAAAGGAATAAAGAGATACAGACTATTATTCCTAGTCATAAATAGTTTTGAGGTGCTCAGATACTATAGTATGAGGGGGCATATAAGGAAAAACATTTGGGGCTCAAAGAGGAATACTGAAAGAAATTATGCGACTTACATAAGTAATCATCATCTTGTGGTTCATTTATTTCAACGTACACTTTTTTCTCTCTCTTTCGTAAGCTGTATGTGTTAACTTGGGTGCTCTGCCCCTGGGTTTTAGAAACTGCTAACCTGGGTAGATCTAAAGGGGAATTATACTGGGTAGGTTAGTCTGTACAGTACCAGAACTGATAGCAATAAATAGGCAATGGCATTTTCAGGCCTAAATCTTATTTATATGGAGGCTGCTTTACACAGCAAAGTGGCTACAGAATATGTAAGAATCAGGCCCCTTGCACATGAAAACGTACATAAATATGAGCCATACCACAGTTTCTAGGAGCTGAACACTGAAAACCACGGTTGCCTCTGACACTTTCTATCATTGATTAAGCAGTGACATTCTCTCCTTAAATCTGTGTCTCGCTCCCTGTCCTCTGCTCTCAGTGCCCACAGCCTCCGATGGGCTGGTATGCGAGAATTCAGACCCAAGCAAAACAGCAATACGAGGCCAGTGTGTGTCCTGATGACCATGCTTCACATGGCCAAGATGGACTCAAGCCAGGTTAGACGTCTAGCGCTGGTTTCCTATGGCAACAACAGGAGTGCCATGGAGGCTCACCCTGCCTTGCGTCACCCAACAGTACCCTAAGCAACCAGTTAAAGACCAGCATGACAGGGATTTGAAGGGAATCCCATCATGTTGGTGGCTGTGCTCTTACGTGCTGAAGGATGAGCTCTCAGGGACTGAGAGCTCAAAGGGAGAAGCAGCAGTAAGAATAGCTGTGGTATTGAATTAGACTTCACTATAATGAGAGATATTTCCATGTTTCTACAGATAATGAGAATTACGTGTCCCACTAGAGCACCTCCCACCAAATCTCATAGGCTGCAGACCTAATAGTCCTCAGAGCTACCATGAAAATACAGAGGAGATTTCCCCACGTTCTGGGCTTACCAGTTTTCAGATCAACAACATTAGTGACAGGGATTCTGGTGCCCACATCGGAATTTTTGTCCAATTTCTCAGTGTCTGTCTGATTCTCAGAGGCCTTCTCCAGCACTGTCTTTTCATTCTGCACACAAAGTTGTTTTCCATTATAATAAGCGTACTGTTCTGGTTCTCTCTACCCAGAGCCTGTCATGTGGCGAAACTAACATACAAAAGACTACAAGGAGCAGATGGCTACGTAAAACTAGGTTGACCACCGCAGCAATGGAGTACCTTCGCCAGGTCAGACATGGCATAGCAGTTCTCCCCAAATGGCACCCCCTGCTGACAGTTGCTCCATCACCGCAGCGATCTCTCTTCCCATAACTTGGCCTTCTTGCCAGGTCACAATTTAGTCCACCCCTTCCAGGGTAACAGAAAGCCCAACATCCTCACCAAAGGGTCTTTGGTCCCCCAAGATGAGCCCTCTGGTCCTCACATCCTTTCCTCAAAGTTTTCTAATGTCCTTGTCCCCTTCTCTGGGCTCATGACACCTTGCCAGTGGCTGATAGGGGAGCCTGGGCCCTCCCACTACACCAGGTCCCAGCCCAGGAACCTTTAGCCCAGAGGTGGGGAACCTACAGCCCGTAGGTCCGATCCAGCACATTGCTTAATTTCCTCTGGCCCACGGCAAGTCTCAGCACCACAGGCTAGAAGCCCCGAGCCTCAGTGCCCCCCCACGAATGCCTGCTTGCCCCACCGGGGCCAGGAAGCTTTAGCACTCCCCCCCCCCACAGGGCTGTATGTGGGCCACGACTATTTTTTCTGTGGGTCAATGACCCATGATAGAAAAAGGGTTCCCTACCCCTGCTTTAGCCAGCAGTGCGGTTCCACTCCTTGCTGCTGCTGTTTCCCTGGGCTCCTTCCTAGCCAGCCTCTCTCAGGCTTGGCTTTTTAAGGCTCTTACTCTGTTCCTCCACAGAACCTCATCCAAAGCACTCTCTCCTCTCCCTAGCAGTCTGACTCCAAATCTATCCCTTCTTTCAGGGCACAGTTCCAGTCCCACCTGCTCCCCATGGCTCTCTTTGCCCCAGCTGCTTGCCAGCCTTCTCTACTCCTGCTAGGATATCAGGGCTTGGATTATTCTCCTGCCAAGCCTCTACCTCATCATCTCCTTAGTCCCCCAGAATGATTATAAACGTTCTCTCTGCAGCCTGCTTCCTTTCTTTGTCCTGACCAACCTGCTCTTGCCCAGCTGGGCTTCATGATCAGCCAGCCACACCTGGCTCTCCCTCCAGGTGCACCAAGGTCATATAACTCACCTCTCAGGCCCACATTAATCCATTCAGGGCCAGCGTGGGGTACACACCCCATCATAGGGCCTCATACAATTTGACTTGAATATTCTCTTTGGTGGTCTTTGATAATTCAAAGAGGATATATGGCGGGTGACAGGCAAGGAGCAAGTTATCTACGAGGCTTAAAATACAGACATTTACCTACTGACCTCTTCACTGAGGTGATTAGATATTTGCCTAATCTGATACTGCATCTTCTGTATAAAGCTAGTCAAAAGCTTTTAAACAAAATGTTTTATAATTGAAAAATGGTCTTTGTAAAAAAACAAAACAAATTGTTTCACAAAGTTGACTTGTTCCATTTTTGTTAAATTGTTCATAATGTTTTAATTTTTTTTTAAATTGTTACCTAAATAGTTAGTGAAATATTTCTATTTTTCAGGCAGCTCTACTTTGGAATACAAAATTCTGTGCTCTACCATTGTAAGAGGCTCTACCAAGCAGTAGGGGGCGTATCAGTCATACCAGGAAGCATTCTGTCAGTGTTACAATCATGATGTAGCTGTTGATGTTGCTCTGGGCTCCCATTTGGGAAGAAAGTTTGTGGCTTGCCTATATTAGACATCTCCCCTCTGAAATTTGCCATATTAGGAAGCCGCCTTGAAGTGAATTTGTTTCTATCTACAATGTATTTGAGTCCAGTGGCAGAAACTGAACAATTCCACTGAGATATTCTGAAAAATGATCCTCAGTCTTAAAACTTTTCTTGGCCTTTTATATAAATGCTTTTTTCTCCCCTCCCCCATCTTATATATGCATCCTATTGGTGTATATAACTATTTTTACAATCATTTGATTGAGGTTCTGGGTTTTATTTATTACATTTAACATTAAAGTTATTATTTAATTGATAATTGTGGTCCAGGAATCTCTTTGTGTCAGCTAGCAGAGGACAGAGGGGGCATAGAGTATTATAGGGATCCCTGCGACAAGTATATGCACCATAGCTCACAAAGAGTGGTATGCTAGGTCTCTACCAGGTGCCAATACGTAGCTCATCATAATCATTGTGAAAGGTATGTAAGGATAATATTTAAGAAGTTAGGTATCTATACTGGAAATTATGTTCTTAATGCCTTGAAGTTAAAGGCAGGTCACCGAGCGGTGAACGGCCTCAGATAGGTTTTGTTCAGGCAGGGTTGGAGGCGCTAATCTCTATGGCTGGTCATGTGCGTCTCACAAGGTACATCTATTTGCATACAGAGCCACCAGCTAGTCAAGATTGCGAAAAAGACAAGGGATCCCGAAATCGAAGGGGGACACAGCAGGAAAACATCTGGGTTATGAATAAAGATTAAAGGACTGTTTTGCTATATTTGGGGCTGCATACCCTGCACCTGACAAGCTGATGGAGTGGCTTGTTTCGTGAAAAGGGGATCCCAGCCAACCTGGTTGAAAAACGCTGGTGATCAATACTTTATTAAAGCTGAGGGTATCATAGAATCATAGAATATCAGGGTTGGAAGGGACCTCAGGAGGTATCTAGTCCAACCCCCTGCTCAAAGCAGGACCAATTCCCAACTAAATCATCCCAGCCAGGGCTTTGTCAAGCCGGGCCTTAAAAACCTCCAAGGAAGGAGACTCCACCACCTCCCTAGGTAACGCATTCCAGTGCTTCACCAGCCTCCTAGGGAAATAGTGTTTCCTAACTTGTTAATTAAGTCTAGGCCCTAAAAATCATGTTATGATTTTATCTGTAACCATTTGTTTCCAATATTTCTACTTGCTATCATTTGAATGAACTTGGATTTGTTCTCACTATAACCTCTGCTGCGTGTTAAGTAGAGCGGTGATCTGAGGTGTAACTGGTAAACTGGGGTGTCCTGTGCCTTTGGGAACAGCGAATCTGTGACTACTGTGAGTGGCCAGTGGAACGGGCTGTGCGCTCCAGGGGGAGACGCAGAGGGCTTGGAAAGTGCCTATCTCTGCGCCGCAGAGGGACAGCGAAGCCTGCATAGGCTGAGAGGGGAGTGCTTGTGGTGCCGGGGGCTCCTGGAATCAGGGAGCTGATCTGCAGCAGGTACAGACAAGATTGCCTCATGCTAAGAGCAGGTGGTAGTGAGGTGCCCCACAGCCCTGGTACCCCTAGGAAGTGTCACAATAATTATTTAATTATTAGTTGAATCAGCAGCATAACTAGCACATAAAAAGCACTTTTCATGTCACTGTAGAGGCATCTGTTAATTAAAAACAGGGTTCACGTCCTCTATAAGATTCCTCATCTAAGCAAAAAGTACTTAGTAAGCTTACGTGACTGATGTTCTGCCTTTTCTTTTTTTCCTGTTTCAAACTGCCAGATTTACGTGGTGGCCTGAAGGTTTTAACTATAAGTGTAAAAAACAAACAAACAAACTGAACACGTTCCCAAATGCTGCATGACCAACATTACTGAAATGGTAAGTGTCCCAGGCAGGAAGCTGGCAGCCGTTTCATGTTCTGACTGTCACAGAGTCACAGAAATCAGAGATAGAGAGAAAGTCGTCTCAGCCCTCCCTAAGCTGTTACAATGTAACTGGTTTCACTGTGCAGGGTAACGATTTAACAAAGCAAGGTGTAAGGACAGAATGTGAGGCTAATGCTTTGTTATGTAAGAAACTGCTCTTCACTCATAACATTATTTAATATTTATAAACAACATACAGCTTGAGTGCTTGAAGCTGCCTTTGACTTGCCTCTATCTGAAACCATAAGCCTCAGGGTAAAGCAGGTGTCACAGAGTGGTTCAGACCCTTTGAACTTCCCTGTACATGTTCCACATTTCATGCTGCCTCGCTGCTGATACAGGATGTTTGTGAGTAAAAAATAAACTGTTCAGTTTTTAACCTGAATGCCCCAGATTAGAGCAAGGAGAGCCTCATGTTGCAACCCTTGTGGTGAATTAAAGTGTCATGTTAAGGAGCTCCGAAGTGAATCTTCTCGTTCTCCATGGCTGGAAGGGTGAAAAGTCAACATGAGCCCTTTGAGGCTGGGGACTATGTGGCAAGGAGCTGATTCCCCCAAGGATCTTTTAATCAGTGGAGATGCCCAGTGATGGTAGCTCATTAAAATGAAGAGTCACTTCTTTGCTCTGTTACCTAAAGGTTTTGGTGTCCAGTCTTCATCAGACTCAGAGTCGTATATGATGGGGTTCTGGGGACGTCGACCACGACACATAAATGCGGGTTTCTGGGTAGGAAGGCCTAACAAAGAAAGCCATAATAAGCAATAACAGCTGACATGATCTGAGTCTTGCTCATGCAGTGAGACACCTTCCCAACACCTTGCACTGGGAATACAGGCACGGGAACCTGGTGGCAGTGCCACGTGCTCTAATCTGGAAGACCTGTGAGGCTCGCCTGGCACCTTAGGACTCCTACTGCCCAGGCCAGAGGGCTTGCAGCAGCCTCAACTGCCTCTAAGGCTCATCACAGAAACAGCAAATGGAGAAGCCAGCACATTCACCTAAGGTCTGAAATGGGGGGTGCAGAGTGTGAGAGTGTTTTCTATACTGGATTTATACTCTGGCTTCTCTCTGCCCCAAGGACACAAACTCTCAATGTCTCCTCCCTCCCAAAATGAGGAAGACTTAAAGGAGGACTAAATACAACATCTTCAGCTGCTTGTGGCACTTGGAGTTGCCTTTTCTCCCCCAGCTGGCCCTCTCACCTAGTTCAACCATAAACTCATAGTTCCGCTTCATGTTCCTGTAGCGGGTTTTCTCCCAGGCTCCCATCTCTGCCCATTGCTCCTTAGGGAAGTAGATGGACAGTTCTTTGAATTCATCTTCCACCTAGTCAGGTGAAGAAAAGTGTCACAAGTGTGTTATGTTCACTAGTCACCATCCAAATTTTCTCAACAAAAGGGACCACTTCCTTCCCTCCCTGTCCATCCACCCTAAAACAGCAGCAAATCTCTTGGGCAGAGGGAGGTGTACGGAAATTGGCCCTGTGCAGCATCTCATCTCCTACCTTTTCCACTGACTGACCATTTGGAAGGGAAAAGTGAGGGTCTAATTTTAAATTAATCTCCTGGGCCTGATTATTATCTCTGGCCAGGAGACAGGGAGTGAGCGGCTTCCATTGGTGCTGGGGTCTCAGCCCCACGGCTCTTGCCTCCCAAGGCCCAGGGGCACGTGCTCCTTCCCCGGCAGGTGGAATCCTAGCTGGCTCTGCTCCAGTCAACCATCACTCTGGTGCCCCAGATGCTCTCCCCTCCTGCAATGGGGAAGATGAGACAAATTTCCCAGGTCCCCCTGGGGGTCACCTGCTCCCAGCAGCTGCTCCCCTGGGCTCCTCACCTTGGAACTCTCCCCTGCTTTCCTGCCTTTCTGCTCTTTCCTCTTTTCTGATGCTCTCCCTTCTCCAGCATTGTCACTCATGGGGCCTGACAACTTGCCCTGCTGCCCCAGTAAACTCTGTAAGGGGACAATGAAATGAGGGCCCCACAGCCCAGGCAAGTTCCACTTCTGGAGTTCAGCCCTTTTTGGGGTCTTTGGGGTTCAGCCTGAATAGGGGTCCTCCTGCCTCACAGGCTTAATCTAGTTTGGGGTCTACCCTCATCATCCCCTGGGGCTCAGCCCGGGCTGGGGTCACTCCCCTGGGGCTCAGCCCGGGTTGGGGTCACTCCCCTCAGCCCCTGGGGCTCAGCTCGGGTTGGGGTCACTCCCCTCGGCCCCTGGGGCTCAGCCCGGGTTGGGGTCACTCCCCTCGGCCC